TATCCTTCTGTCTGCCATCCAGCCACCCCACCCACAGGTTCCTGTCCTTAGGTGAACAGAGCGGTTATACACCAGTGTGCCTGAGATGAGGTGTCTGGAGTTGGCTACTGGCATAGCCTGTCCTTGCCTTCACACTCACCCAGCACTGGGAGTCCTGGGCATCAACCCTAAGCCAATAGCCGATACCCAGGCTGCTTCCCCATTTCATGCACTGAGATGGGTAGTCCATCTTAGCCCTCTACAGTGAGTGCTGAGGGTTCCTATTCTCAGGTGCAGGTAGTGGGGGACTGGCTATAGGGCAGAGCATATCTGTGAAGTGCAGATCACCTGTGTTCTCTGGGCATGGAATTGCTGTTTTTGTCCTCTGGTTGCAGTGGCAGCTCCTCCAACAGGACACTGAGGCACAAAGAGTTCACGCTGCCAAACTCTGCCTGTTGTGGGTGTGAGTGCTCCAGACACTCCTGTCTGGGGCAGTGAGGCATGCAGCTTGCTCACTGAATTCTTCCTCTCCCCAGGCATCTACATTCTCATTGCTGTGGGAGCTGTGATGATGTTTGTGGGCTTCCTGGGGTGCTATGGGGCCATCCAAGAGTCCCAGTGCCTGCTGGGGACGGTAAGTAGGAAGGGTTTCAGGGCAGGGGAGTAGTCTTCCCCAAGGTTTTGCTTTTTCTGTTTGCTTGATTTCCATTAAGTCTGACTCTGAAGACTCATGTTGACAGAGGGAGTTTCTCTTTAGAAATGCATAAACCAGTGGGGTGCCTCACCCCTAAAGCCAGCCTTAGTGTTCCTGGCCACAGTGGCTACTGATGGAGCAGAGTCTCAGATATGTCTTCTAGAGCCTGGCCAACCAGTGTGGAAAACTGAAGCACACTTCATATTTTAAACTTCCCATGGATGGAGGATAAAGGGGGTGAGGAAACTAAGGTCAGGGTTGGGGGCATATTGCTGCATGTGCCTCCCTGGAGACTGTGATCACTTGGATTTGTCTACTGCATCTCCTGTGCAAGCAGCATCCTGCAAAGCAGGGAGCAGGGTAGGGCCCTGAGAACAATAGATTATTGCATGCTGCATGCGCTCAAGGATGATCTGTAGTCCGTAAGGCTAAGATTTCTTTATTCAGATAAACACCAGCCCCCACACAAGCCAGAGCATGCCAGGGGCAGCAAGGCAGCCTGGCCAGAGAGCAGGGGCTATCCACGTGTGCGCAGTCCCTTAAGAATTCTTCCCACATCACCTTAGACCTCCCCTGACCACGCCCTCACGGGCGTGTCCCGGCACACCTGTCGGGGCTGGGGGGGGGGGGCGCGCTACAGTGTCTCCCTACAAAGAACTTGAACATCTCGGTGCCAAGCTGCATCAGACCCCATCTTTCATGGTTCTGTGTGGCTCATTCTTAATCAGGACATGGTTGATGGATGTGGTCAACTCCCTTGGCACATAGTTGTTGGTCATGTGGGCACCTATAGAGGGCTGGGCTTGGGCTTGCTGGTCAAGGCTCTGTTCTCGTCTTTCTTCTAGTTCTTCACCTGCCTTGTGATCCTGTTTGCCTGTGAGGTGGCTGCTGGCATCTGGGGCTTCGTAAACAAAGACCAGGTGAGCCTAGGTTCACTGGGGAGGGAGATAGGCCCCTTGCCTGGGCAACAGGAGTGAACCGCTCTGAGCCCATGGGTTACAGGGTGCCTTTTGGGTTTCTGGTGCCTGCTGGTAGAAGGGTCTTGGGAGCTGAACAGAAGAGATGGTGTCAGGTTGAGCACAGCAGGGGAAGCTGAGTGCTCTTGATGGTAGTCCCTATGCTGCAAGTGACTATGATTCTCCCCCAGATCGCCAAGGATGTGAAGCAGTTCTATGATCAAGCCCTTCAACAGGCTGTGGTGGATGACGATGCCAATAATGCCAAGGCTGTGGTGAAGACCTTCCATGAGACGGTACAGCTAGGCTGGAGCAGGGAGGGCAGGTTGTGGGAGTCCTAGTGTGTGTGATCTTTGGGGGATGAGTCCTGCCTATTTCCAGACATCAGCAACATGACAGGTCCTGGCTAAAGGTCTGTGTGATTTGTAGATCCCCAGGCAGGAACCTAATGGGCCTCATTTGCCCAGGGGTTTGGAGGAACAGGGCTCTTGAGCAGTGTGACAAACAGGGTAGAAGGCCAGCTCCCAGGTATATGGGGGTGATGGTGTGCTGACCTTGCCCTTGTCTCCTGAGGCTCCTAAGGTGACAGTGATGCTTTTGGTCTCTGCAGCTCAACTGCTGTGGCTCCAACGCACTGACCGCACTGACCACCTCTGTGCTGAAGAACAGCCTGTGTCCCTCAGGCACCAACATATTCAACTCCTTGATGAAGGTGACATGGAGTGGGGGTGGACATCATATCTTGGGTGGTAGGTAGAGTAAACATGGCCCACCAGGAAGATCAGCAGGACCTCAGAAAGGCTCACAGAACATCTCAGGTAGTGGGGTGCTGGGTCCTGACAGCCTGCGTTAGCCTCTGCAATATCCTGGGAAACTGCTGTCCAGTGGTCCCTTACACATACTGGAAGCCCTAGGGTACTAGTGAGGTCAGAAACACTATCCTGTGATAAAGAAAGAGAGCAGGTCCATGTGTTTTAAGTTTATTTTTTGGATGGAAGATAAACTGCAGGACAAGCCCCACCACTGAGTAGGGTAGTGGCTGTGACTTAGCCACTGACTGTTACCACCCTCTGGCCATCCCTGCAGGAGGATTGCCATCAGAAAATCGATGAGCTCTTTTCTGGGAAGCTGTACCTCATTGGTATTGCGGCCATCGTGGTAGCTGTCATCATGGTAAGCACAGGGCCTCTTTGGTGGGTGGGTACCACCCCTCCCAAGGTCCTAGGTGCTGACAATGCCCCTCCCTCCCGCAGATCTTCGAGATGATTCTGAGCATGGTGCTGTGCTGTGGCATCCGGAACAGCTCCGTGTACTGAGGTCCTGCACTTTGTACTACAGGGACCCTGCAGTGCCATGCCCCTGAGTGACCAGAGGCCACCTCGGGGGCCATGGCCTGTGTATATATTTCTGTATTACTCTGCTACACTTAGCCTTTTTACTTTGAGGGTTTTTTTGTTGTTGTTGTTTTGAACTTGCCCGGTATCTTTTGGGGGCTGACATCACACATAGGTGGCAGTGGTGAGTGTGGGGATATAGGGGTGGAGCTGGCCCTGGCTTGCAGGGCCCTGTACTTCTGGAACCCCTGCCTGCTGAGCCAAACCTCCTCCACAGCTGCTTGCCCAGAGGCTATGTAGCTGAGCTAGAGAGCCATGGTCACTCACCCTGCCCACTGTGGGTCACATCGATCACATCTTTTTAATCCTTGTCCCTTTCCTGTCCCCATTTCAAGAGCTGGGTTTGTAAGCACTCTTATGCCTTCAATGCACCTGTTCTTTCTAACGTGTCACCTTCAACTGTAATTACATCTGAAACAGTCATTTAATAAAGGAGGAGAAAATCAGGCATGCTAACCGGACTGTCAGACCTCTTCCTGTTCCAGTGGTGTCAGAGACGGGTACCGCTCTGGACTTTGCCAGGCACAGGGTGAGCAGGTCCAAGAGAGGCTGTGGAATAAAATGGGTGGGAAGGATAGGGACCCTGGGAGCACTCCATCTGAGTACTCCCTCGTTTCTACCTCCCTGTACTGGGAGTTCAGGCTGACCTTATTCCAGCCTTGACCTCATTTCCACTCATCTGTTGGACATGCCAAGTCACACTGAGACGGGTAGGAGAGGTCACGCAGCAGGAAAATTCGACACAGAATGCTGGGGATAAGCTACAAAAAACTCCCACTTCATCCCACTTTTGAAAGACAATACAGTAAAAGTTAGACTACTGCCCCATCCCAAGTATCTAGGTGCTTAGAAATGTTCTAAAGAGCTGGGTGGCTCTGGCCTGTCTCAAGGGATAATAGTCAAGATGGCAGCCCACTCAGCTCAGCCCTATGAACTGAGGATTAGGCTAAGCAACCTCTTGGGACACCAGCAACTATCACCACTACTGCCTTTCCCTTTGACTCCTGTCTGCACCCCTCCCCCAGGCTACTGGCATATTTAATTGGCCTCTAGAGGAGAGAAAGCGTGGCTAAGATTTAGGTCTCAGCTCCTAGCAACCTCCCTGTAAGCTGATTTGTCAGTGAACCCCAAGTTTGTCCTAGGGCGTCCTAATCTCTACTATCGTCCGTCCGCCGCCCCCCTCCCGCCCCTTGCAACCTGTTCCCTGCTTGGGTTGGCTGCTGGTCTGAAGGACTTTATACTCTTATGTTGTGGGCCCCTGGCCAAGGCTGTTGAGAAAACTGCAGCATGGCTATCAGGGCTTCAAGAACATAGGGAAGGAAGTGAGCGTGCAGCAGCCCAGTGGATTCTCAGACTCTGGTTCCCAGAGATGAAAGAGGACAGCCCCGGGCCTAGAGGGGAGTTGTGTGTGGCCTTAAATAGTGGGGTCGGTGTCCAAGCACGGCTAGGCAGAGCCTAGAGGAGAGGCCTCGAATCTCTGCAGCCCCAAACAACTTATCCAACATCCAGAGCCCACCACGTCTCTAGATGCCAAGAGCCAACTAGGACTTAAGTCCCCGCCCCCTTTAGGAAGCCAACCGAGTACAAGATCAGATCAGCACCACTTCTGACCAGGAAACTTGTTGACGCCCGCACTGCGTGGTGACGCACTTCCTTCCAGTGACGAACCCTGCTCAGACGGCTTCCGACAGGCGGCGCTGGAGGCCTCAACCCTTTGCGATTAGCAGTTGGCCCTATGTACAATGGGAATCGAGGCTCTTGGCTCCGCCTCTTCCTCTTTCGTCATTTCCGGGTAGATTTCCGTGTCCGCTCCAGTCTTACGGGATGACGTATACGTAAAGGTTACACCTCCCGGCAGGCATTACGCATTGGCCCATTGCCTTCTGGGAGTTGTAGTTCCTTGGCCGCTAAAGTTGCAGCATTCAGACAGCCGGAGACTCGGTTTCCCAGAAAGCCGAGCGAGAGTAGGCGGGGGCCACGGCCCGTACCTCGAGAAACCGGCGGGACGCTACGGTAAAGGCAGCTGGCTGTTGTAGCGTGAAGGGACGGTGGAGCGGTGAGCGCTGGCCTCCTTAGGACCGTGCGACCAGGCCAGTCCCCTGCCAGCTCTCCCTCCGGAGCCGGGTGGTGCCTCCGGTGGCGGTGTGTACCCGGAGAGGCTGCGCTCTGTGAGAGCCGGTGATGAGACGAGCTGATGGTCGAGAGCCTCTGTCTCCAGCGTCTCCTAGCGCGCACCCTTTATATGTCCGCACTGTTCTGATCTCATGGTTTGACTCTCTGCTTAACCCTATCTAGACTGCAGCTCCACATCAGTGCGTGCGAGGACACACTATTCGCCACCCAGCTTCGCGAGGCCTCCGCCCGCCTGCGTGACCAGCCAGCGCCCGATTGCGAGCAGAGGCGCCTGGCACATAGTGGAGGTGAAAGTGGGGGAGCCTGGGAGAACGGGGGTGGGGGGGAGCTGCCCAAGTACACCCCTCACAGCAGAACCTGGGCTGCTTCGCTACAGGTCGGGTTCCATGGCGGAGGCGGAGACTGGCTTGGAGGCCGAGGAAGACACTGAAGATGACACCCTGCCTTCTGACACCGTCTCCCTCAGCGACTCGGACTCGGACCTCAGCTTACCTAGTGGTGCTGAGGTGCAAGTGTTGTCCCCGGAGAGGATTTCTGGGGAAGCCCAAGAAGACTCCGGCCCTGATGAGCCTCCCTCGCCCCCCACGGGCGTCCCCACCACCGCAGTTCAGCCGTTCCACCTCCGCGGCATGAGCTCCACCTTCTCCCAGCGCAGTCACAGCATCTTTGATTGTCTGGAGAGTGCAGTCCGGCAGGCACCGCCCTCTGCGCCCCAAACCAGTGTGACTGAAAATGGCAACTTCAAGCGACCTGTGGCTCCCCCAAGTCAGACTCCAGCAGGGAACCTGAGCAGGGTGCATGGGAGTACGGGCCCAACCAGGGTACCTCCTGTGCCCGATTATGTGTCACATCCTGAGCGTTGGACCAAGTACAGCCTGGAAGATGCGACTGAAGTCAGTGAGCAGAGCAATCGTGCTGCTGCCCTGGCCTTTCTGGGTTCTCGCAGCCTGGCATCCCCCACAGACTATGTACCTTCCTTCAACCAGGACCCCTCTAGCTGTGGGGAGGGGAGAGTGGTCTTTACCAAACCAATTCGAGGCAGTGAGACTAGGGCTGAAAGGAAGAGGGTCCTAAAGAAGGGGGATGTGTCAAATGCTGTGAGTGAGGCATCTGTGGAGCTGGCCCATCTGGCAGGGCCTGAGCTTGAGGAGTGGAGTGGCCACCAGGGACTGCAAGAGGCAGTGATACCTTCAGGAGCTGACCATCCTGGGTCCTCATCAGATCCCACAGGGATGGAGGCTGTTGGTTTCCATGGCAGCAAGAAGCGGAGCAGAGAACACTTCCGGAACAGGGACAGTAACCCGGAGGGGCCAGGGTCTGAGAGGGGACCCTCAGTTTGACTGCAGTGCTATCTCTCCACCTCCTCACCTGCCCAGTCCAGGTGGGAAGCTGTGGGCTATTTGTAGAAGGGGTGTCTGGGAAGCAACTCTGACTAGGACTGTGGGAATTGTGGGACCTTATGCCCCCGTTTCTTGGGGTGAAAAATAAAGGTTTGGGATATTTCTTAAATTTTGTGGATTTTTCTGCTCCCTATTCAAGATGTGTCCAAACAGTCCTTGGCAACTAACTTCAGGACTCCATCCTACACCTGGCTTATCTTGCTCTCCCCACTCCAGTGGGGACTGCTGTAAAGATTTGCCATGATCCCTTGCATTTGCTACCAGTGAACCTACCCAGAGGGACTGGGTTCATAACCATGTCCAGCCTTGTACCCCTGATGGTAATGGACGAACATAATCTGTCCCCCAGAAACCAGCACAGCCTCCACACTAGGCCTGTGCAGACCAGTTTTAGGAAGAGGGTAGTTTGAGCCAGCGAAGGAGTTTGGGCAGGTGTCCACCCAAACTAAAGATAGAGCTGGTGTCCTGGGTGTATGTCTCCAGGATTTGTGACCTCTGTGTAGGACACTGCTGATGCTAATAGGCTGATGCTAGGTCATTTAGCTGAAGCTTAGCCCAGGAGGAAGAGAAGGATGCAGGGAAGACACATGAGTGAGTACTTCATGCCGTGGCCAGGGTCCTGAACCAAGTTAGCTAGCCTGGTACACTAAGTACTAGGTCTGCCCTAGTCTCTGTAGTCCCTATTCCAGGGCTTGAGTATCCTCGAAAAAGGAAGGATCAGCCTGAATGGTCATATGATTTGAGGATCAGTGGAAGCAACAGAGATGCCATTCAATAGGTCAGGTAACTCCATGTTCCCTGGGTGTTTGAAAAGCATGTTGAGCCATCCCTGTGGTCCAGTGTAGCTGAGTTGAGGTGGTCTACAGGCTTTGTAGCAACCTGCTACAAAGGGTACCCTTGAACAGTATCTGGCGTTAATGCCACAGTGGTTACACAGATAAGCTGTGGGGGCAGAGCGGTGGGAGGCGATGATTACCAGTCCTCTAGAAGCTGGTCAGATAATGAAGAGTTTGTCTTGAGGGCAGAAAGAAATCACTAGTGTTTAAGAGGTCAGTTTCTTAGGAACTAACAGTAAGACAGGGTCTAGACCCGAGTAGCTCTGCCTCGGCAGATTTGTCCTTCACTAGTTCCTGGTGTCCAGTCCAAGCCGATGAAAGCACTAAGGACTGAAAGAACTTCCCCTACTGGAAAAGACACCGCTGGAGCTCCCAGATAGGTGCCAAGAAACAGTTTCATTTTCACAGGAAGGGATGTTCAAGAAGGGGTCTGTGGCAACGCCCTAGAAGACCATTTCTGGAGGTCGCTGGGAGTAGGGGAAGGTTGATGTGTCGCAAAAGCCCAAGATGGCAAGGCCTGGGGCTCTAGGACAGGTGGCCCCTCCATGTCAGGTGTCTGAGGGTGGCAAGCCAGCCTCTGGGTATTCCCTGTCTCTAGTAGATGTTGGCTGACTCCTGCGACCACAGTTCTGAGAGCCTGGGAGCAAGGAAGGGAGAAAGGACCCTCAGCTGTGGAGCCCCAGCTGGGACAGGACAGGACATGGAAAGTGATAAGGCTTCTGTCCAGCAGGACCAGTGGTAGGCAGAGCCTTGGGACATTACGGCTCTGATCCTAGGCACCTGTATGCCTCAGGCACGGTGGCCTGCCAAGGACAGCAAGGACTTCCAGCACAGGTGGGGAAGGCAGGAACTGATGCACAGCCTACAGCTTTGCTCTTGTCTAATCCAGTGGCCTAAGGAAGGAGCCCATGCCCACCTCATTCCCATGGCCTGAACAGTACTTACTTGAGTAGTTGCCACCTGGAGCCACTGTGTCAGCCATGGAGGAGAGGAGGAGCATACAATAGTTGGCCTGGAAGGAGACAAGGGAGATGCTGGACTTTGGCACAGAGTCCCTCCCATGTGACTCCCCTCCTGCCAGGTCTAATGCTGCCCCAGGACTCCTCACTGTGGACCAGGCTCCCCCATGGTGCATGATAAGGAATGGTGACAGGATGTGCTAGTAAATCTAGGTTTTGTTGGACCAGTTCTAGAAGAAAAATGTGTCTCTAGTGACAGGCATCCCCTGCCCACACCCATCAGGAATCTAGTACAGGGCTGTGGTAGTTCCCATAGAAGCAGAAGGATGGCCCCACCTCAAGAAGAATAGACAGTGAGTGGGTTGTTGGCTTGCCTGTGATTCCAGACACTTGATCCTCTTTTCTTGCTCTCTCAGCCCCATGATGTATTTGGCAATCAAATCCACTCTGTGGAAAGTAGGGCCAGCCATAGATGTGATTCCTCCATGGCATTCCACAAGGGGGAGCCTGTCTGCCCTAAATGCTTTCTCAGGGTCTCAGAATTCTGTTGCCTCTTCTTGTCCTACTCTCCTCCCAGTCTTGATCTGGGGCCTGTCTACAGATACAGAACACTTCTGTACCACCCCCACTCCCAGAGACTGAGGTCCTGTCCCTGCTTGGAATAGACCACTAGCAAGAGAAGAAACAGCAGGTCATCCCCACAAGTGTTCAGGAACAGCCCCTCCACCTCCCGGCATCAACTGGGGGTGGATCTTCAGACTTGAGAGAGGATGAAGGGAGAGTCCCATTGCAGAAAGATGCCTAATGCTTATGCTCCCAAAGATGGCTTATGCTCCCAATGCCCCCCCCAGTCCTCCCCCTAGAGCAAGAGTCTGGAGTGCTGGATCTTGTGACCCAGCCTTGTTTCCTAGCTTAGAGGTCCTATTACTGGCACTGAAGAGTCTCACCCAGCCTTAAGGCAGTTCAGAAAACCCCACCCATTACTGAAAAGGCTAGATGTTTCCCCACCTCCACATGCTTGCACTTGGGAGCCCCTCCCAGACTTATTGCCCCTCATAACACCCAGCTGACTAAGGTCAACTCAGTCCCACTGCATCTGAGTCCACCTGCCTCTAGACAGGGCCCTTTCTACATCTCTGAGCAGCCCATGGATAGAAATGATGGCACCTGCTAGCCTGAGACTCATATTCATATGCCCCGCCATCTGGGGTCCCATGGGCTTCCCCACCTCTGTGCTGTTTTCCTCAGCACCTCCCCCTCGCTGTCCCTCCTCCGTTTCTCCATGGCACTCAGGAAGTTCTCCTTCTGAACTGCTTCCCAGGTAATGATCTTCTGGTCCAAGGGGTCAGGCAAGTCTCTCTCTAGCAAGGTAGGAGACAGCAGCAAACCTTGGAGAGTTATGTGGGCCCCTAGGGAAGAGCCCAGGCCCAGGCTGTGGCAAGGGACTAGGGAAGATGCCACCATGCAGAGCACAAGGCAGATGGCAAAAATAAACCCCATGGAGGGATTTGGGGCTGCAAGGAGACAGGATGGTCCTGTGGCTGTCTAGTATGGGTCTGGGGTTTTGGTTAGCCTTGACAGGGCCTAGATGAGAAACCCAGTCCCTTCTGTGAGTCTTCTCTGGAAGCAGGACCCCGAGGAACAGTGGCATCCAGCCTGTGGCCTCACCCAGGTGTTGACGCTTGTGCTGGACTTCCTTCCTGAAGACCCTCTTGAGCACCAGACTCAGGTGGCTGAGCAGGATGAAGGGTGGGGCCAGGGCTGGTCGCCCATGGTATTCAACAATGAGGTGGTAGCGCTGAAACTTCCAGAACACGTCAGCATTGCCCTGGACCACTTGGAATGTGTAACTGCAGGACACATGGCCAAGCCCTTGCCTTATAAGCTGCTTTCCCTGCACATAGAAGCACCCTACCTCAACCTGGCACCACCTCCCACCCCATATGCCACCCCATCCTGTATCCCCCTTCCTACCCTTCATCTCAACCCTTCACCTCCCACTCCATATATGCCATCCTCCATTGCATCCAGAGGGCAGCTGGCCTGTCCTGGGAGCCCAATTCAGAGATGGAGGCTAACATAGTTAGCTTTAACTATTAACTTGACAGTCTAAGAGTCAACTGAGAAGAGAACCACAATTGAGGGACTGTCAAGATCATATTGTCCCATGGGCATGTCTATGGGGGAATATATTGACCATTAATTGATGTAGGAGGGCCCAACCCATTGTGGGTTCTCTGTGCACGAGGGCTTGGGCTGTACAAGGAATCTAGTTAAACATGAACCTGAGTGAGCTAGCCTAAAACATTCCTCTGTGGTTCCTTCCCGCTTTGAGATCCTGCCCCAACTTCCCTCAGTGATGGGACTGTGATTTGGGAGTGTAAGATGAAATAAACCATGTCTTCCCCTAAGTTGCTTTCAGGCAGTTTTATCGAAGCAATGGAAAGGAGATTAAGACAAGGGCCTAGCACCCCTCGGTCACAGACTCCAGGTGTACTGCAGTGGGGCATACTCACTGCAGGTTTTTAAACAGCCCCGAGCCCGAGGCCCTGTATATTTACTCTCCTTCCTGGCAGGATAGAGAGCAGTCACTGAGCTGAGGTGGGCTCATAGTGTGCCCAGATCTGGGGTGTTAGCTCTCTACTGCAGGGTCAGCTGACTGGACACAGCAGCAAAAGGGACTAGGTTTTTTCCTACTAAGGACACAGGTCCTATATCTGCCAGCATCTGAAACCAGCTCCACTGAGAAAAGGGAGCAAGGATGTAGTAAGGGCAGGTGGCCAGGAGGGTACCTGAACATGGCAATCAGCAGGTTCATAAGTAGCACATTAGTGACCAGCAGGAAGGTGACCAGCAGGAGAATGACCACCCAATTGGCATAGAGATTGGGGCAGGAAGCTGAATTTTCCAGAAGCAGAGGGTGAAGCGAACAGTTCACACGGGCCTCTGCAAGGCAAGCAGACATTTTCAGACTGGGAGTGTGGTTCCAAGCTGAGGCCACCAGTGTGCAAGTCTGGCTAGGCAACCAGGGGCCTGGTTCACATTGGGCTGGCCACGTGAACCACAAAGCACCAGAAGTCCCATTGTGGAAGCCAGCTCTAGTTACACCAAACTAACAGGTGGACTGCTTATCATCTGAGCGCTCTGCTGGGATTCCAGGAAAGGTCCCAGTCTATGAAGGCAAGCCAAGTCCTTGCGAGGAACAAAAGTTAGGATAGTAGAGTCATGGAACCCATTTCTGTCTATCATTGCATGAAGTAATTCCTCCACCTACCCCAGAGAGGCTTAACACCCAAGCCTTTCCCACTCAGCAC